GTGCACATACACACATTGGCTGATTGATTGGTTGGCTGATTGATTGATTGACTGATTGATTGGTTGGTTGATTGATTTATTGATTGACTGATTGACTGATCGATTGATTGATTGACTCATTGTTTTATTGTAAAAAAAAAAAAGAGATAAATCGTGCACATGGACGGTCAAAAACAAATTGATTGACTGATTGATTGATTGATTGATTGATTGATTGATTGATTGATTGATTGACTGATTGATTGATCGATTGATTGGTTGACTCATTGATTTATTGTGAAAAGAAAAGAGATAAAACGCGCATATACACACACACGGTCATGCTTCTTTCGAGTGTACACACTGTATAGCGAACACGGCAACACACACACACGCGCACACACACACACACACACACACACACACACACACACACACACACACACACCATCTCTCTCTCTCTCTCTCTCTCTCTCTCTCACACACACACGTGCGCGCGCACACGGAGAGAAAGACAGACTGAGACAGAGTGAGCGGGCGCGGTCCCTCACACAGCCGCGCGCTATTGAGTTTTTTTTTTTTTTTTTTTTCAGTCAACCAATCAATCAATCAATCAATCAATCAATCAAATCTCTTTTTTTTGGTTCTTTTTTGCTTTTTTTTTCACTCGTTTTAATGTTTCTTATTTTTCACAAATCTAAGAACAAACCAAAAAAAAAAAAAAAAAAACTGGGTTTTTGTGCTCTACAACCCCATATTTTTTTATTTTTTATTTTACTTATTTTTCGGCAGCCAATGCAGTATAGTACGGCCTTAGGGCCTCATCCCACCCTACTTACGGTAAGTAAAATATCCATTTTCGGCGTATCCCACCTTGTTCCTTGAACCCTGGGTGCTCCGATGTGAACGGAGGGATGTGAAAACGGTTTAGGACGTGGCGTTCGTGGAGTGAACGTCGGGAGGTCCGTTTTGCCGTTTTCGGAAAAGGAACGGGCCTGTACCCTGTTCCCAAAAGGATGGCATGTTTTTTATGTTTTCTTTTCCTTATCTTTTTTGCCCGCTACCTGGCCAGGTACGTCCAAAAAAGGCCACACCCACACAAAGGCCGCCGCCACCCACATAATATGATCTCCTGCAATAACGGGACGGTGGAGTACAAATTTTCTTTCACGGTCCGAATGCTGCGGAGTGCCCCTTCTTTTTCGTTTCTTTTTTACTTCTACTTACCGTAAGCAGGGTGGGATGAGGCCAAAGCCCTAATGTAAAGTAATCATCCGCCTGCTTCTAGCAGACGATGTGCCATGGATACCGCTAACATATCTTCAGATTGCAAACCTGGCCCCCCCTACACCACACGAGCGAGAGGTGCACCCGCTCGAATGACCTACCAACCCTGCCTGCTCTTTACCAGGCCGTCCATCGGAGAACATACCACGACAGGCCACCAGGGGGGATCTCAGACACGATCCGCTGTGGAAAAACGACATTCTCCTATGGCGAGAGATGGGGTCCACCAAGACGCCGCCCCCTGTGAGATGGCATGAAGTATGGCGCCAGCCACTCCTTGGGAATCCCCTGGTTCTAGACTCAGGGGAGGCCCCTTTTGTTATCTTGGGATCCTCTCACTGGCTCAGATGGGTGCAGCGGGGTACATTCTCGTTTGGCGGACCTAGTATGGGACATACAGCATGGAACGCGGAAATCAACCCAGCAACTCCGGCCACAGCTGAGGCAGATAAAACTGTTATACCGCGTCAAACGCGGGGGACGGCCATTCGGGTAGCATGCTTTATGTTCTAGATAGTAAGCTTGGCAAAGGTCTTATGAAGTGGGGGATGGCAGCCTTCTGGATGGTAGTGTCCAAAGCCAACACTCTCCCACTCTCCCTCACACCACACGCAACCCACTCACACGCGCACTCACACCCGTGTTGGCTGAAGACCTTTCTGATACTGACTGGGAGGATCCAGCTCACTGTTTCAGTTGGACGGCACCAAGAGTGCCACAGTCGGCGGTGGGGATTGAACCCACAACCTCCTGAATGCCACTTGCGTGCCTAACCAATTGAGCTAGGACGCTGGATGGAGCCCAGATTTCTTGAAAAAAAAACAACTGAAAAACGAATAGCAAGCTACTGAGGGCTGTACCACCCCACACGCGGCCAGGAAAAAGGGCATCTCAAGCTCTGAACTACTAGCACTGTATCTGCCCATGTTCTGCCAGAAGATTCATGCTCGTTTTGCACATTTGGTCAGTAGTGGAGCAAGGATGTCTATCTCCACAGCTCTCGTGGCAAAGGTAAGTACGCTCTCGTGCTCTCGTGGCAAAGGTAAGTACGGCTTTTCTTCTTTTTTTTTCCGAAAGTCAATATGTACGTTTTTTCTTTTCTTTTCTTTTCTTTAGTAAGCCCTGCCAACGAGGCAGGGCAGTCCGTTCTAGATTTCGTCCGAAAGTCAATACGTACGTTTTTTCTTTTCTTTTCTTTTCTTTAGTTAGCCCTGCCAAGGAGGCAGGGCAGCCCGTTCTAGATTTTGTTACTTGGGCGTACTAAACAGCAGAATGCTTCGATACTGTATTTCTGGGAAGATGCAGTAGAAGAGAAAAAGGGCAGTCCNAAGGGCAGTCCGTTCTAGATTTTGTTACTTGGGCGTACTAAACAGCAGAATGCTTCGATACTGTATTTCTGGGAAGATGCAGTAGAAGAGAAAAAAAACGAAAGGGGAAAAAACCCAGACCCAAATCGCCCCCCCACACCCATATCGCCCGCCCTGAGTTTGCAAAGGGAAAAAACGCTATCCCTCAGAAGGGAAACAATGGACAGAGCCCTATACTAAATTGCAACGACCTTGACAAACTGACCTGCCCTATGACCCATCTTAGGGACGACTGCGACCCGACCCTACCCTATTTTCTGCTGTCGGAGACCCCAAATGAACCCGTCCTAGCGAAGTTGTACTGCATGACCTTACCAAAAATAGAAAGAAATGAAACGACGAAAGTGAAACCCACACAAGCGCAGTCTCCTGGCTGCGAACACATACAACCCAAACTGTTAGACCACGCCAAGCGTGGTGGCGCAGCCAGGGGCTTTCCGCTGTTGATGTGGAGCCCGGGTTTGGGTATAGATTGGTTTATTTGCCATGCCCGGAAGGGGGGCTGAGGCTGTTAGGGTCGAGGGCTTAAATGTTGTGGGTGGCCCCAAGTCCCAGAGTTTGTCCCAAAAGGTGCCAGTGTCAGTATGCTGTAAGGATAGCCAGAGGCTATTTCCATCTATAGGATGAGCAAACTCGGAATGAATCTTCAGCCAGAATATGGAAATATACA